TATCCACTGCAGAGCTTATAGCAGATAAATAATCATTACGTATGTGATGAATAGGTAACATACACTGTGGCACTGAGACATTTGGGGGCTAGGAGCAGAAATAAAGGACTTTGAAAATGTATTACTCTGTGTTGACCTTGTCCTGTCCCCCAGTCATGTGGGGCATGACCTGTGGCCACCGATGGAGAAGCTGCTGCTCCAGGATGCATTCCCAGACATGGTATCTGCTAGTGGGGGGAGCCAGATCCTCTCAGCCTTCTTTAACATGCTCCACTGCATATGCCTCCTGCCTCCAAAGTAACTGCACTCAAAGCCCAGGAAAAGGGCTGAAAACAGATGAGCACGGGTTCCTGGGTCCCGAATTACTAAGAAATCATTTGCATTCTCTTCGGTAAATTTGCATAAAATTGGAGCCAAGAAAGCTTGACTGGGTTTGCAAGCCTCACTCTTTCCTGCACAATGCTATGGCCACTACTGTTTATCACCATCTACCAGGGTGGTGGAGCAAGACAGACTGCGACGTAAAAATGGAACCCTCCCATGCCCACTTAGAAACTGGCAAGGGAGTGGGGACACAGCCATGTCATCTGGCTGCTGCATCCTTTGTTATGACAAGAGTTTATTTACAAGACCCTGACCTATGGCAAGAGAACACAACTTCAGCTGAGGTTCTAATGACCCATGACTGTACACACACCTGAGTGCATGAGAACCATGGGAAACAAGCCCACCCCCCCCCCATTCCACAAAACCCTTGGCTTCCATTCCCAAGTCAACATTTACCCTAGAAGACACTTTCTCTCTTTGTCAAGTGTATTGAGGTGCAGATTCAAGGTAACACTCCACTAAAGACCTCTGAACCCAGACACTCATCTTTCTTCCTTTGAACCAAGGGACACATGACAGCTGCAAGAAGTCAATCACTCATGGCCAAGTGTGCAAGAGAGAACAGAACACAATCAGCTGCTAGTTTATATTTTGTTATTTTTATCTCACCCGCCCATTTCTCTCTCTAAGGCTATTCCCCAGGGAAATCCCATTTCATGACAGAACTGGTTTCTTGTGCCAGGGAAAAGGCTGTGCTATTGCTATCACTACCATTGTTAATTCTGCTAAGGTCATCTCAGATGCTCTGTCTATGTGAGATAAATGGTTTCCTAATGAGCTTCTCAGTGTCCTGGGGCTGCTCGTGTTTGCCCAAGTCATCACATCCAGGGCCTTAAGAGGAGCAGCTGCCTGGAAACTCCAAAACTGGGGAGGCAGTTGAGCTGTCTTCAAGAACGCCAACTATTCTGGTACTGGCTAAGTTCAAACCCAGCTTTACCATATGATCAGCACTGCTACTCCCTTCTCCACGCCTCAGGACTGTCATCACTGCCAGGCAGATGTATGACCACTCCAACGTGCCCAGACTGCTGCAAGGAAGAAATGCAGTAACGGGGACAGATGTACCAAGGACATCTACTCTGTCACTGCCACACAGGCAGCTGGGGGTGTCCCTGTGACACTTGCATATAGACCTGTGATGTCTACACAGACAGCTGTCCTTTCAATGTTTACTGGGCATCTGCTCTAAATGTGCCTGTGCTAAACATGTCTGCCCAGTGCTGGTCATGCATGCCCACCTCCCTCAAATGCTGTGAGCAACCTTGGTGAGTGTGCCTTGGAAACACCTTTCAGGTGATTTGCTATGAACGGCTGTTCTTATTTCCTCAGACTGGTCAGCACCTGAATCTGGACACTTGTCCCACTTCTGTGCCCTTCCTGCTTTCTTGACCCACCAACCAGTGAAGTCAGCAATACTGTCCTCAGGGAAGTGTCTGGTGGCTCCCTCCCTCGCTGTCCATGGTGCGCAGCAAGAACTTGGTGTGACAGTACGCGGGTCGTCTTGTCTTCAGTTTTGTGACCTTTCAGTTCCACCTTTAGTCATACTCTGGTCACTCTGACTGTTTGCTCTCCTACGCCTGACAATCACTTTCAAATGGCTCTCTATATGTGGTGTCTTTTTGCATTCTCACATGGCAAACTCCATTTATTAAAAAAAAAGATATTTATCCACCAAACCCCAAGTCATATGGCCGTTCTGTTTCTACTTGAGGGTTCATACCAACTCTGCACTCTCCAGAGTGAGGTAGGGAAGAGGAAGGCTAGATCTGGCCAACCGGCGCTGCCTTAGCTCTGCTATTGCTTTCCTTCTCTTTCATGGAGAGTTGGAATCATCTTACTAAGTGAATTTTTCAGATGGCTGACGCCTAAACTTTCAAAAAATGCTAACCATTTAGAATGGAGCTCTTTCTGCAAATCATTACCCACTTCTCCTGGATTCTCTAAGTGGTGCTGTGAGAAATTCCCCTGTTGGGGACAAAAAGGACCCCTGGGGCCCTGGAGTCTGCTCCACACAGACAGCTGCAGAAGACCATGCTGTTCAGCGTTCAGTTTGCTCTTCACAGCACAGAAATATCTGATGTGGGGTACCCCTCTGTATGCTATGAATATGTTTTGTTGCCACTGGTTAATAAAAATGTTGCTTTCGGCCAATGGCTAAACAGAGTAAAGCCAGACAGAAATCCAAACAGAGATGTCAAGAGAGAGTAGGTAGAGTCAGGGCGACGCCATGTAGCTGCCGAAGGAGACAGACGTGCCAGAACCTTGCCAGCAAACCATGAGTCTCGTGGTGAAATATAAAATAATAGAAATGGGTTAATTAAAATGTAAGAGCTAGCTAGAAATACACTTAAGCTTTTGGCCAAACAGCATTGTATAGTTTCTGTGTGATTATTTCAAGTCTGGACAGCCAGGAATGAATGAGCAGCCTCTGCCTACAGACGTAAGTCTTGATTGACAACTTGCTTGTGTTGAGAAATGCCTCGGTGTTTATAAAGCACACCTCTAGCATGTCCACAAACAATCTTAGCATGAGGAGTCTGACCTCACCAGTGTTCACATCCATTGATGGGTTCAAGCCTTGAATGTACCATTGGAAGGTAGTGAAAGGTTGGTTTGGCTAAATGAAGCAGATCCCTGAGGGTGTGTCTCTGAAAGGATAGCTTGCCAGAACCTCTTCCTGTTTCTATTCTGCTTCCTGTTCCATGGTGAATAGGTTTATTCTCCTCCTCCTCCCTCTCCATCAGCCCAGAACCAGTGGGGGTAAGAACAAGAACCTCAACTCTCTGAACCTGACAAGTAAAACTATCTACCCCCCACCTTTAGTTATTTCTGTTAGACAGTTGGCCACACTGACAGGAAAAACACCATCAGATTTAAAAACAACTGTTCTAATAATTTTCAGGCCTCCATTTTTTAACTCAGTTTTAATGTGATATATTTGCTGTCATAATTCGCTAATGGAAAACATCAACACTTAATCTTGAAAGAAATGTCTTTTAAGTACAAATTGGTTGAAACATTATTCTGCTTTGAAAAGGACGGGTATTCTGATATGTGCTGCATTATGGGTAAGCAAAACATGCTGCGTTATAGAAGCGTTGTGTGATTCCACTGCTGTACAGAGCTGGAAGCGCAGCCCCTGAGAGGGAAGGAGGAAAGGAGGGGTCATCTGGGGACCGTGGGAGTTCTATGATGGATAATGGTGACAGCTGTGCAGCACTGAAAACACTATTGTTAAAACAGGCTGGGGGTACAGCTCAGGGTAGGGGCCTGCTCAGTGTGGTGCTTTGAATGAGAAAGTCTCCCAGTGGTTCATTAGCTACCAGGGAGTGGAACTACTTGAGTAGGATTAGGATTGGGCCTATGACCTCGCTGTAGTAGGTGTGACCCTGTTGGAGGATCAGGACGTAAGCTCCCAGCTACTGCTCCAGCTCCAAGCCTGTCTGCTGCTGCCACACTCCCTGCCATGATGATAATGGACTCTCCAGAAGTGTAAGCAAGATCCCAATTAAATTATTTCATTTCTAAGGGTTGCTGTGTAGCGCTGTCTACTCACAGCAGTACAACACTCACCAAGACAGTTCGTGTACTTGAAGCTTCTGGTTCAATATGCAGAACCACAAAAACAAGTAAAATATGATTTTTAGCTCGGCATGGTGTGTCATGGCTGTTACCTGAGATCTAAAGACATGAAGTACAGTCTTGAATACAAGGTAAGTTCTAGAACAGCCTAAAGTACAGAGTAAAAGCCTGTCTCAAAACAATAAAAACTGGTAAAATTGGTAAATGCTGTGTACACACACGCCTACTTTTTAGCAAACTGACTGGGAACTAGTGGCTGAGTCCTTGGTGGCCCGAGATGTAAGTGTGAGCAACAAACCCACTGTTGTGTGGAATGGCCGCCAGTCAGCAGAGATCTCAGATGTGTTTTGTAGTTGGGAAAGTCTTGTACTCACAAATTACAGTTTTGTGACCAAAAGCTGCCACTTCTCGGGGTCATTAGGAAGAACCCCGAGACCTGAGGTCAAAGGGGCAGGGCTTTCTCTTTCTCACACAGAAACTAAACTCTTCCTCTGTCCTAAAGCTGCACTTGTTACACAAAACCGACTAAAAGCAGAAAGATACTGACGGTGCGAATTCCCTAGGACATCAGGGGTTAAAAATACAGCAGCCTTTCCAATATTACACTGTTGGGTTGTTCCTTATAAATTCAGTGCTGGTCAATAAACGAGAATAAACAGTTGGCTTGTTCAGTCATTTACCCCAGAGGTCGCGATGAGCTGTCTTGCCTAATGAAAGGTTACTATTTTCCCTGGACCTGAATAACGCTTTCTCTTCCCCTTTTCTTTCGCTTCTTATGAAATAGTATGCTGTTCTGCTCTCAAAGGTCGTTAATGTTATACCTGGAAAAACACTTAAGTTTGTATTCATCTATTCTTTTCTAAAATGTTCAACCCATGTGATTCTTCTCTTTGACTCGAGATTTACATTCTGCATGTGAACTTGAAATTATTTAAATAGTTCACTCATCTATGCTCAATAATGAAGAAATATATCAACTAATAAAAATAGAGAAGAAAAGAGACATTTGGCCAGGCATGGTGGCTCATACCTTTAATCCTAGTACCTGGGAGGGAGAGGCAAGCATATCTCTGTGAGTTTGAGGCCAGCCTGGTCTACATGACAAGGTTCAGACTAACAGAGCTGTACACCAAGACCTCATCTCAAACAAAACAAACAATAGCAAAAACACTTAATAAGGAAGTAGGAAGAGTTTCCTTTCTAGTCAGAATTTGTTGTCTATATTTCTTTGAAGAAAGGGGTTTCCTGGCTCATGTTGGATCCCCCTTAGCCCTGTAAGTCAACACACACCGTGCATCCTGCTCAAGAGTTATTATGGAAAACTGTCCTGTTCTGGGCTGAAACACCCAAATTAAAATGCAGGCATGGAAACAGCATCTTGGCTGAAGGTGGGTTTGCTTCTGAGTAGAACAAAATTTACAGCTAACTCTAAAAAGAGATACATCATCACCCTGTAAACTTGAGCAACGTATCATTCCACTCCTGAACTCTGGAAAAACACCACAAAGGTCAGGCCTAAAATAGGAACGAGCGGGGAGTCAGGAGCACAGCGGATGTGCAGTCACAGGCTTTGCCACCTTTCTATTAAAGGCATTAGGCAGCTTACAATTGGCTGGTGAAGTCACTGCCTGGATCAGGAACAGTACTGGGGGCGTTCTCATTCTGAATATGCTGACCCGTGGAAGCACACAGCAGTCAAAGCAACGGTGACCACTTATTTTTCCAAAAGCTGCACAGATACTGGAGCCAGAGAAGAAAGAAACAGGAAAGACTCCTTTAAAAGCTTCAGTTTTCTTAGCTATGAAAGACTGTTTAGAACCCAGAATGTGAGAAAGATTTCATCTCCTTGTAACTGAAATACAGGTGACTGGGTAGCTTCTTAAAGAAAATAAAACACAAACAAAATCCCACATGTACCAATTTGTCATTTTTAATAGGTCTCTGTTTAAACGTTTAAATTTTTCTTTATGTTCCAGAGGACATTAATTATCAGTGGGGTTGCTGAATGTAAGATCTGGGTTTGCTGAGAAGTGGGAGAAATCGCTTGGCTTTCTGTGGGTACGATGCTGCTTCCCACTCTGAGGAGGTGTGTGAGGTTAAACCTGGAGTCTGGCACTTAAGGGGGTTCAATAAATGCTTGTCTCCTTCCTTCCTGATTCTTGATGCCCAGGCCATTGGCCAGTGGTGCAATAAATACAAAGAAGAATCAGAGATTCCTAAGTGGAGAGATGCTAAAAGTACATGATCCAAAAATAGTTTCTCTCTTTAATTAATGCTGCAGAGGAACTGGCTTCAAACTGACGGTAAATGTACGGACAGAGCACTGAATTTGGTGCTGGCGAACAAAAGCCTTCGTTCGTCCTTTGCTGTGTGAACTGCAGCAACACCCCACGACACCCGAGTTCACCTTCACACAGCCTTTGTCCCTCTGCAGCCCTCCCTCTGTTCTGCTAGCTCCCCCGTTACTGCTTGGATGTCCCACTGAAGAATGAGCCCTTGATTATTGTGTTTTTTGTGGCAGCTCTGCCTGGTACACAATTTGTTTTGCTTTGTCGTTTGAGACAAGGTCTCACTGTGTGACTCTGGTTGTTCTGGTTATGTAAACCAGGCTGACCAACCTCAAATCAAAAGACCTGTATGTCTTTGCTTCTCTCAAGTCCTGGGATTAAACAGGTCTGCACCACAAGACCAGGCTGACCTTTAACCGCCAGCAATCCTCCAGTCCCAAGCTCTTGAGTGCGGGATTGCAGACATGAGTTACCACACCCGACAGTAAGAACTGTTTGCCACACTCTGGAGAGAACCCTCACATCACTGGGCAAGCACTCCCGTCCTGCACTAAGCCCATACATGCTTGCTGAGTGAGCAATCAGCGTGCACTTCAGGGTGACCCTAAGGATAAAAGCACCACCATTTTTTTTAATTTAATGAATGTTTGCCCATTTTTCACTATTTACCTAGAAAGGAGCCCATTTTTAAAAGTAAATAAAAAAGCACAATTGCTGGTTATGTAGTGACAACCAAAAGCTGTCATCTTAGTAATCACTGGGTTCCTCTCTCTGTTGACAGGGTGGGTGGGTAGTTTATAGTACTGTAGCGTGGGGTATTGCAGACATCGCCAATTAGTCTTTTAGGACTGTTCTTTTTGTTTTTGTTTCGAGACAGGATTTCTTTGTAGCTTTGGAGCCTGTCCTGGGACTAACTCTGCAGACCAGGCTGGCCTCCACCTCACACAGATCCACCTGCCTCTGCCTTCTGAGTGCTGGGATTAAAGACATGCACCACCACTGCCCGGCAGGACTGTTCTTTTAGGAGCTACATGTCCAAGACCGCCTGGCTCATAAGTCCCCACAGGGTCTTGAGTTCATGTATGAACATCAATTGGGAAACATGTAGATTTCCCTCTGCAGCAAACACAAAGCATACTTTACAAGCACAGAATCATGGGATGGGAAATATCCAGAAGCAAGAGACTGAGTTTTATTGTGTGCTTGTGTGTGTGTGTGTGTGTGTGTGTGTGTGTGTGTGTTTGGCATACATTGTATCATTAAGCCATATTTTAATTTTTTTGAATTTTTCTCAATAGAGAGCAGTAGAGAATACAAAATTTCAGAATTAAATAGGTTTGATCAAATTCCTGTTGAGCAATCTGGTGTCTTAGGAGGCAGGTGGATCTCCTGGATGCCAAGACCGCCACCTCCCGAGCTTCCTGCTTCTAAAGCACTGCTGGAAGCTATCTCTGGAGATTCGGGACGTGTGGGTCTGGAATCCACAAGGAAGGCAGACCGCTGTCCCTGCCTTTCTTAGGCCCACACAGGACTCTGCAGAACAGTTTTGGTCCTTGTTTCACCTGAGGAAAGATTCTATCGCAGCTGCCTTTCGTAACTGAACTTTCTTCAAAGGAAAGTTTATTAACTGACCTTTTAAGGGTTATTCCATTGTGAATTGTAGCCATAGAAGATAATGTTGGTTTAAGAGAGTGAGCTATGGGGGCAGGATGGACTCATAAACACCTAAACACTCAGCGCAGTGCTCTGGAAATAGTTACGGGGGAAACCACTACAGCGCAAAGAGAAAATGAATGATACTTGAAATGTTTAGCGCACCGCCACATCTTCCAAGATAACCCCTGCCTCCTACCCCATTCCAACACAAAACAGTCCGTTCCTGGCATCCACACTGCCATTCCCTGGGTCAGGCACAGGGTCTCTCACTGCACATTCATTCCTTCTCGGTCTCAGCAGCATCAGCTGCCCAAAGGTCTCAGACTGGCCGGTGTGCATGTTCCCAGCATGCCCTGTCTTCTCTGCTCCAGCCAGGATGTACTCTTCAGTCCCCACACCGTGTCAGCTGCTCACACATTTTCCTCTTCATTAGGCTAACTATGCTCCTCCTTCAGGCTGGGAACCTCTTCCTGGCCTAACAAACGCCTCCTCAGCTCCAGGCTTGTGTGCACTGGCTGATTCTGGAGTCCTACCAGCTCCAGATGATGAACTTCAGACCATGGTGCTGCAGACCTGGCCTATATATTTGTGTTATCATTTATAGCAGTATGACACATTCCCCATAGGCCCACAGTTTTTTACTTTATTATTTTATTTTATGTGTGTATGAATGTTTTGCCTGTCTGTATGTTTGTGTACCCCCTGCATGCCGAGTGCCGAAAGAAGCCCGGAGAGGACATCAGACCCACTGGAACTGGAATTACAGACAGTTGTTGGCCACCATGTGGGTGCTAGGAATCTAACCAAGTTCTTCTGGAAGAGTAAGTTAGTGCTCTTAACCACAAAGTCCTCTCTTCAGTCTCAGGCTCACATTATAAATGCTTAGTCCCTAACTGAAAACTTCAGCAGGTGAACCCTAGAAGTCGATAATATGGGTCAGCTCTTGGGGTTATCTCATCCCTGCCCACCTCCCATTGGTTAAGAATAGCACCCACCACATACTCTCCACACCATGATGCTCTACCCAAGCAATCACAGACTGAACCCTCTAAAACCATGAGCTCCAAAACTTCACCTCCCTGTGTCATTTCTGTTATACAAACATAACTAATACAGTACATTGTGAAGAAGTCATATAAATTAATAGTCAATTTACTGTTCTGTGTTCAGTAATTGCATGACCAATTAAAAATTGTTCACTTAATGCCAATATAAAACTACAAGTTGGTCCTTAAGAATGACAACCAGGGCAGTCCTTTCCAACGTTTCCCCGTACCAAACATGCAGCGGGTTTAAGACAAAGTCAAATGTTTCCATCCACATTACCCCTCCCCTCAATTTCCCATGTCTTTAAACCAGTCATTTCCTCATTGGTCATGCCCTTGAAATATTCCTTACAAAAGGCATTTTCAGATTCCAATGACACGGACTCTCATCAGTTAATTTTTAATCAAGCCAAATATTAAACACTCACATTTACCGGATAAAGCTACTGATTCGCAGTGACAGCTTGTGTTATTCTCTCACACAGGCCAAGCATGAAACAGAAAACTAATAACCCTTAACTGTATTCTCAAAGTATCATTTATGGGAAAGAAAACTACATTCCAAGAGAACTTTTGCAATGGCTGTCATTGCTTCCCCCATGCTGCAAGCTGTTGCAGAGCAGGGGAGCTCATTTTCTCACGGATATGGGCGAGCTCAACATCTCTCTGTCAGTGGACGTATTCATTAAGAAGGAATCTGGCAGCTGTTCAGGGGACAGATAGTTTGGAGACCAGGCCAATTATCTGGGTGTCCTTTATAATTTGAAGTTTCTGAATTCACTCAAAGATAAGCCACTTGAAGAGGGGCTGGCAAAGGAAACGAGGCACAGATGGCCATAGAAGAAGGCAGGGAGTGGGGGTGGGAAGACAGAAGAGAATTTGTTTGTGGTTTCATTCATGGGGACAAATCTGCAAGTTGACACATCCGTCACTTTAAAAGCCCCTGGAGGAGCATGGTCAACCTTCATTACAAGTAAACAAATCATATGATCTTTCTCAAACACATGACAAACGGTGAGTAACAAGGCTTGAAACTGGCATTATGTCAAGAGATGAGGGTTCTCGAAACCACAGATAGGCTGTGAGACTGTTTGAACCAGAACATAAATGTAGCCAAAGCTACTGGGCTAACAGTGTGACTGCCCTGTTGCTCTTCCTATTGGTCAGTGTCTTTAGAAATGAAATCTTAAGTCTCTCATCTTTGGGAATGTTGACCTGAACTGACTTTCAGCTTCAGCAGGCTGCTTGATTTTATCGGAGATCATTTATCTTCATGGCTTCATTCCAATTCTCTTAATACTTGAGCTACACACTGATAGAGGTAAAATCCACCTTGCTCCTTCTGTGAGAACCTTGCTCAAGCCTTGCTTCCTTTAATGATAAGGTGATGAATAATCTCATACATCAAGACCTTCAAGTCTGGGTTAGATCTGAAACATGAGAGGACAAAGAAAGAAGGTATAGGTCTGTATTCTGTGTGCACACCGCTCTGTACAAACAGAATGTGCCCACCAGCAACGTCAGCACTGGAAGAGTGATATCTGATGAACGTATAATGCAAAATCAAGGAATTCTATCTTTATCATATGCTTTCTTAATTCGAAGAAAAAAATAACAAGGAAACCATCGGTATGCTTTCCTCTTTTGTGTCTAATAAATATTAATTAACAAGCAGGATGTGACAGTTGGGCACAGATCGCTCGTTAAGAGACTAAGACAACACTACCTGATTAGAATAAGTTAAACACACAAAGTGCCCTTAACATATAATTGTATTAATTCGTTCTTTTCATAAACTAACTCTTTATTATAAAACACTTATTGCTTATATATGCAAGATGCCATCTTGAATTTAATAGGATAAATTAGTTCACACAGAAGTTCCAGAGACTTCCAAAGTCCCTTGAATTTAGATCACAAATGGAGGCCTAAGCAGTCAGCAGGCAACACTAGTTAAGCTCACGTTCAATTACCGTTTGTGAGTGGGAAGGCAAACTCAGAAAAGCAAACCTTTGGGCTGATCCTGAAGCCCAATCCACAGCAGCCTCTGAAGACTGCTGGGAAAAGCTGGTGTGTGAGCAACAGTAATCAAAGATGGCAGATTCAGCAGTAGTACTTAGGGTCACTTTGGCGAATGAGAGGAGCAATGGGGCTCCCCTAAACCCACATAGCTTAGGCATAAAAGCAGGTAATTTTTCCCTTGAGTTTCTGATCCTTAGGTCTCTCTGCTTACTTGGCTCTTCCACTTGAATAGACTCATGAGGGCCCACGATGAAGAGATTCAAGTCAAACTCATTACATTTTCTTGTCGTGACAAGCAGGTTTCCATTCTCTGGAAGACTGGCTTGTTTTGTTTTGTTTTGTTTTACACACCCCCATTCCCATTAATGTGGCTCATACTCCTACCTGGTCTCTCTGGTCTAGCCTCAACCATCATCAATCTTCTCAACATGCACATCCTGCTCTGTCTCAGGATCCTTTCAACATCTGTCAAGTTAACTACAACTCTCCTCGTTTAGGACCGAAGTCTACATTCTCAGATAAGTTCTTCCTGAGATGCTCGTGACGCTCGAATCAAGCCAGGACTCCCAGTTCTCTGCAGGCCTCACACATCCACCTGCTTGACAGCTCCGGGTCCACTGCTTTAAATATTCCCTCCCCATATCTCTTATCTAATCTCCAAAATTTGTTTCAAAACTGTCCCCCACATGGAACTCTCTATGTCCCATGAGGTACCTTCTAACTCTGTCAGTTAAATGGCAAGGACTGTGGCTACTTCAGATTTGCCCCAGCTTGAATGTCTGTTCTTTAAAACACTTACTAAACAAACACCTAGCACTGAGCTTTTTATATTTAGAGTCAAATAAATGTTTTTCTCTGCGAAAACAAAGAGGTTAGTATGTATGTTTTCCTAAATAATAACATCCTTTAAATCCTTGTACACCCACCATTTTCCCAGATACTGGGAACATAACATTACAGTTCATGGCAGCCATTCATTTCTCTTAATGCTTCCTCAGATAATCTTACTCTTGTGCTGCTGCCATTTCAATGTTCAGTAAGTGGCTCTGCTTCAATATAATTTTGTTATAAAATACTTTCAAACCTCTTCTCTGTGTTTTCAGTGAAGAAGAAGAAGAAGGAGAAGGAGAAGGAGGAGGAGGAGGAGGAGGAGTAGGAGAAGAAGAAGAAGAAGAAGAAGAAGAAGAAGAAGAAGAGAAGAAGAGAAGAAGGAGAAGGAGAAGGAGAAGGAGAAGAAAGAAGAAGAAGAAGAAGAAGAAGAAGAAGAAGAAGAAGAAGAAGAA